CGTGGACACCTTGACTGTGAGACAGTTGATTTAGTCCCTGAAGGAGTTTCTGTCAGATGCTGTTTCTGCTCCAGCAGTCACTCACTCACACATTGTTTCAGTTCCCTTTAAGAAAGCTCTCATGTAAATCAGCTCAGAGAGAATCATCTCACAGTTTCACCTGAAATATGTCAAACTGCTCTGGAAATAAAAGAAGTAGATGTAGAAATATTTACAACAACAATTTTAATTCTAATCTTCAAAAGTCTTAAATAAACATAACTTTCAAATATTTAGTAGAAACAAGTAAAGAAAAGTAACTCACAACCATAAAATGTTCTGCATTCTGATCATCATGTAACATGAATTCAAACCGAATTATAAACTGTTCAGTTTAACTTGAAAACATTAAATTGTATACCATCATTGTCATTGCAGGAAAAATGTTTTATCTTTTGTATCCCTCAAAGTTAAGCATCAAATTAAATGTGGACATGAAGTTTAGAAAAGCTGATCTGAGTTAACCTCCATGAGGCCAATAAAAATATTCCTACTAAATTTGTGGTATACTTAAAAAATGACATTTTATTCTCAACATCAAACCATCAAAATGGTTCAGAAACAAATTATTTACGACAACATATTTAGTATTAAATACAATGTGAACTTACTTCCGAATTCCAGTCTGGTTCCTCCACCAAAAGTCCACCACAGTGATACAATCTGATTGAGGCGTCGTACAAAAACCTCTGACTGTAGAGAGACACGGCTCTCTGACTGTCAGACTGAACTAAACCTACAAACCCTCAACATTCAACTATTAAACCAGAAATAATGATTTGTCCTCTGGACCATCCTGAAGTTTTAGACTCACTGCAATGAATTTTAAAATTTACATTTTTAAAATGAACTTTGTGACTCGCTGCAAAACTACTTGTTAACAAATTTAATATTAACATGAAAAGAAGTTTATTTTACATGAATACAAACGACGTGCCAAGAAAAAGAAATATAACACCAAAAAAACAGTTCTGATTGAACTTACTTCCAACAGCCAGTCTGGTTCCTCCACCAAAAGTCCACCACAGTGATACAAACTGATTGAGGCGTCGTACAAAAACCTCTGACTGTAGAGAGACACGGCTCTCTGACTCTGAAACAAACAAACTCAACTAAATGATTTGCTGTTTGTATCATTTTGCCAGCTGAAAATAAAACTGGAAATAACACAGTGCTACAAATTTACATACTTTATATATTTGTTGAGAATTTATTAAATTTATACTAAATCATTAACTTTCATGAGATTTATGAATTTAATGAACTTGACAGACTGTCCTTCCATCCATTATCTATACACTGCTTAATCCTCAGTAGGGTTGCGGGGGGCTGGCGTCTATCCGAGCCAACTCAGGGTGAAGGCAGGGGACACCCTGGACAGGTAACCAGTCTATCACAGGGCTACACAGAGAGACAACCAAGCACACTCACATTCACACCTATGGACAATTAAAAATCACCAATTAACCTCAACATGTTTTTGGACTTTGTGGGAGGAAGCCGGAGAACCCAGAGAGAACCCACGCTGCACGAGGACAACATGTAAACTCCATGCAGAAAGATTCTGGTGTCCTCACCGGGACGTGAACCGGCGGCCAACGGTGCTAACTACCGAGCCACCTTGCAGCCATTGACAGACTGTTAAAACTTCAAAAATATCTAAAACACAATCTGTCAACAAACTCAACCAAAACCTCATATAAATGAACACTGACACATTCAGTTTTCTGATCAAGTGATTGATCAATTGATAATCAGCATCATCAGAGTGATCCAAGTCCCTGCTGGAGTCAGTCAGACATTTCCATAGAGAGCCACTTTGCATCAGCAGCACCATGCTCNGTTCTTGTTGAATATAAACTCTGCTTATTCATTTTCTTTTCAAATAATCAAGAGGATCCAACTTAGGACAAAAAAATGTAAAAAGTTTCCATCATGACCTTTGACCTCAGCTTCAGTCTGGATCACAGCTACTTCATCTCTATTATGTTTGAAGAAAACATGAAGCACAAATAAAATCTTCACATCCCTCGACATGCACAAATATTATCTTTAATATGTAAAGTTGTGTTATCTAAAGGAAGTTTAAAATGAATTGGAACCATTTAAAACGAGGAGCTACAAGGGACATACGTGATGAAACTACATCTGCCTATTTAAATGTCAAACACCAAATATATGAACTGCTAAATGAATGACTTTCTCTTGTGCAAGCGCTCAACAGCCACTCCTCAAAAAAAAGAAATGGGTCAGTATCCTGTTATAACGTGATAAGTGTCTCGTTTTAACAAGATATTTTTCACATTATAACGAGATATTATCACGTTTTAACAACATACTAGCTTGTCACATTATAACAAAATACATTTTTATTTCATTATAACAAGATACGTTTCACGTGATAAGGTGATACGTATTCATCTCATGATAATGTGATAAGGTGTCACGTTGGTCTCAGCAGAGGAGGACTCCTGTGCCCTGGTTGTGAACTGGCACTTGGCCGTTGCAGTGGCAGCTGGCGACACAATGGCAGCCCTGAGTGATGCCCCACTGTTGAAGTTTCTACGAAATCGTAGTGTACCAGAAGAGTGACTTTCGTGTATAGAATGTCACCATGTCTCAACCCAAGCATGAAGTAGAACTTAATGCAATTGTGTGAAACAGCCATATTCCTCCCTTTACCCATGCTCTGCCCGCTGTTTTCCCAAACATGATATGGTTTCACGTTACAACGTGATAAATACTGTCTCGTTATAATGAGACACTTTCACGTTACAACGAAATACTGATCCTTTTATTATTTTTTTGGGGGGGAGTGGCAGTTCAGCGCTTCCGTACTCTCTGACACACTTCTTATAAATCCATCAAATGCATTAATAGTGAGAGCTCATTTTAGACTTGAACAACACTAAATTCATGTTCACTTAAGCAGATGACACCCTGCTTTTCATTTCTAAACCCAAAAATCTACATTGTTCTGTTTATTTATAAATTCACACAATGTAGTTTCTGGTAGGTGAGAAATTACAACAAAAAAATGATTTCAACAGAGATCTTCTCCAAGTTTCAATCTAAATAGCCATGTTAATTAAGACAGATATTAGTGCACTTCAGACTGCCCTGTATTATTCTAACAGAAATAATTTGTTATGAGAGTTGACATTTTCCTTTCAAACTGTGTCAAGTCAGTCAGACATTTCCATAGAGAGCCACTTTGCATCAGCAGCACCATGCTCCAGTGCTCTGGGAGACTTTATAGTCCTGACACTTGAACTCTGNCAGGCGGCACAGGATCAAACACTGACTTCAGTCTGACCATCAGTGGAGTCCAGACTGAAGATGCTGCAGTTTATTACTGTATGGCTGAATTCTACATCAACAGTCAGTATTCGTTCACACAGTGAAAAAGCATCGTACAAAAACCTCCCTCAGTCACACTGAACAGAAACTGAGCTGATACGGTTCACTGAACACACACACACACACACACACACACACACAATATATTGACACACTTCAGCATCAGAAATCTTCATAATCAATGAAAACCCAAACATAACAGATATCTCAGAAAATATTGTGTTAAAAATGTCAAAGAAAACTTCAAGGTCCATCAACTGGAATCATAAAATAACACAAGACAGAAGTGACCCCCTCTATATAACTATATCTACTGAATCAGAACAGTGTCAGCATATAGACAGTATAAACTGCCCAAACCTGTGCAATTAAACATTAAAAACATCTATTCTGTGGTTTGAATAAGTCAATGCAGAATAAATTAAAGAATTCTTAAGACTCTATGCAGTTGAATTAACTGGAGAAAAAAAAGAAAAAAGAAGAAACATTTATCTACAATTGATTGATTTGAGGCCAACATAAAAAACACAACCAGCTGTTAAAACATCTTTCAGTATAACTGGCCTCAGATTTCACTCACAATAAATTTTATATCAGTAAATATCGTCACACACATTGTGACTAAATGATATCCTGGATCATCTCAACAGTCAACACTCCAAACACTGACATGGAAACATCATGATGTGTTGAGAACAGCTGCAGCTGACTGACTGTGTGTTTGCATATGTGTCCTGCTGATGTGCTCCCAGACGTTAAGAGCTCAGCGTTGATCAGTGTCTGTCCAGACCTTTCACAGACTCTGACACACCAGCAGCACAATGATCATGTCCCTGACTCTCCTGCTGGCCACTCTGGGGCTCCTCGTTCAGGGTGAGAGCTCTGAAAACTTTGATTCAGGATGCAGCAGCTTCAACACAATCATGTTCTGCTGTGATGGAGAAACACTGAAACAAGCAGTGATGCTTATTTATTTGATCGAGTGATTGATCCATCTGTAATCAGCATCATCAGAGTGATCCAAGTCCCTGCTGGAGTCAGTCACTGTGACTGTGTGACTGTGTGTGTGTGTGCGTGTGTCTCTGTGTTGTTTCAGTGAGTGTGTGCGACCATAATGGGTGGGAGAATATATTTTGATTTCCATTTTTTCCTGCTTGGTTTGCATATTGTTCCCCTCCGGCAACAACCTATTAATGAGACAAGCAGGTCTTTCCCAGAAAAGGATGCTTACCATGCGACTACACATGAGCAGACACATGCTTTTTGCCCTCTTTCATGTTCACAGAGACACACTTTCACCACATGCTAAAGAAAAAAAAGACACAATAACTTTCTCTTCGCTGTTCTCTTAGCTCATTTATGACCTCTAGCGAGTCCAGAATCATTCAGCTAGTCTTCGATTGATGTGATCTTGTGCTGACAGCTCGCCTCTGTGCCTACATTGCAGCAAAATGGAGCAGTAATGGCTTTAACAGCTTCTACCCACAGGCCCTCAGGCTTCTCAATGAATCGCTCACACACGCTGCACGCAACACACGCACACATTCGTAACACTGAAACACTTTATTGTTGCTTTTAAT